TAAACGATAGCCAAGAGCGGTAGCATTACTCAAAACGTTGCGAAGCTTCTACAACAATCCCACTGATAACAATAGCTTAGGTAAAATACATTCTTATGATATGTTGTAGTTGAGGTCTGGAAGATTACAGTTTCAGGTCGACGAAAATATACAGGGCGATTGGCAATAAGTGTCGAAAATTTCAGGTGTAAAAATAAACCCCTGTTCGAATCTCAACGGTAAAGAAGTAATTTCAGGTTTTGGGTTTTTTTTTTAATTTTTCTACTTAGGTTCACTAAATTGCTTATAAACTTCAGAATTACTGACTGTAGAAAAATCAGGTTTGTGCCAACAGAAAGAACGTTAAATTTGCTATGAGAAAACCTATTTACATTGCAGAAATTATGAAAAAATTCTATAGGAAAAATTCAGAAACAAAATGTTGAAATTTGTAATTTTTTAAAAATAATTATTCAGAAATCGTGAGATGCGGTCTGGTGTGATGTAGGTTTCAGAAAAACATTTTCTTTATCGTGCCAACGTTTCGATCTTTATTGAGATCATCTTCAGGGCCTAGGATTTACAAACATTGTTTACATTTAACAAATACATGTAAAATGTGGAAAAAAGTGAATTTATACAATGCAAAATATATTTTTCAATATGTAATTGAATATTAATATTATTTGGTTAAGCGGACCACGAAAAATAGTGAATTTAATGAATACATTTTTATATTCAATCAAAGTATTTGTCTTTTGAAGAGATTTTCTATACCGCCTTCCTTCCCCACCCTTTCAAAATCCAACGTATATAAACATAAAACAGTAAAATCTCACTGGCACTCTCAACACGACACGCAAGAATGGCACAGTTAAACAGAAGACAAACACTTTGAGTGAGTAGAAATACTTTGATTGAATATAAAAAATATATTTTGCATTGTATATATTCACTTTTTTCCACATGTATTTGTCAAATGTAAACAATGTAAATCCAAAGCCCTTAAGATGATTTCAATAAAGATCGAAACGTTGGCACTATAAAGAAAATGTTTTTCTGAAACCTACATCACACCAGACCGCATCTCACGATTTCTGAATAATTATCGAATAACGGTCACTAATCACCACACATTTTTTAAAATGTTGGATTGGTAACTGTTAATAACTACAAACTCCTGGAGCTTTGCAAATTCCCTCAAAAGTTCTCCATTCAATTAGCTTCCAGCGGTATAGCCATCTTTTTGGATTACGCTTGTATGTATATTTCTCACGTGGGTTATGTATAGACCTCAGTGTTTCACAATGGACAGGTTGGGATACCTTCCGTCAGGAAGGATTGTATCCTTAACATTGATGCAGATGCGGAAAAAATCAACTCACTGCTAGTGGTAATTTTCTTTCTAACTTTGCGCCCTCGTAAAATGGTGTCCCTCCCGACGGAAGACATACCGACCTCTCCATTGAGAAACAATAAAGAACTGACACGAAACTCAAGAGCCAGACGGATTTCCTGGATAAATTGAGCCGCCCCTTCATCGATACCACTTTTTTTATATGTAACATTTTTGAGCCTTCCAGAAGCGCAATCCAAAAAGTATACCGCTAGAAGCTAATTGATCAGAGAACTTTTGAAGGAATTTGCAAAGCTCAGGGAGTTTGTAGTTATTAACAGTTACCAATCCAATATTGTAAAAAATTCCAATGTTTAACATTTTTGTTTTTTTCTGAATTTTTCATGCAGACTTTTTTCATCAAGTCTGCAACGTAAATAGGTTTCTTTGCAGCAAATTTAACGTTTTTTCAGTTGGCACAAACCAGATTTTTCTAGTCAGTAATTCTGAAGTTTATAAGCTATTTCGTGGACCTAAGTCGAAAAATTCAAAAAAGCCCAAAACATGAAATTATTTCTTTACCGTTGAGATTTGGACAGGGGTTGATAGGAAGTTTTTTGTCGCATATGGTGAGTAGAAACACCTGAAATTTTCGTTACTTATCGCCAGTCACCCTGTATATAAATTCTGACTTCTTATTCAGTTGGAAAAGTATAGAATTTCTTCATAAGAAGATATTAAGATGTTTTTGTAGTAAGTGATTTGGTAGCGAAATAGATGTAGCATTATAAAAACGACCGAGGAATATAAATAATTAAGTTAGTTTATACATTTCAGACTGATTTGGTCTCAAATGTACACATCCATCTTTAAAAATAGCTATTTTTAGAAAATGTAATTCCGTTATTAGAAAGTAATTGCCTAAATGATGCACACGGTCGTTATCCCATTTGGCTAATGCGTTCGTTCCTTTTTTACGATGTCGATGCAATTCCGGAGTCGGACAATGTTATTTGGCGTTTGATTTTTTGAAGTGGGTCAGTGTTAATCCGAACGCGCGCCGTTGAACCTTTACCTTTGCAACATTTGATCAAGCTCTAACGGTCTTGGAACTGATTATTCTTCGACTGAGGGCCCTCGGGATACCAGCTCTCCTAACAAGGGATATGGGATAGGAGAGGTGAGCCGCCTGGACGGGCAACCGGAAGCTGACAGGGGCGATAAATTACTTCCGATTATGCCCTGTTCAGCTAGCGGTTCAACGGGTTTTCGGACTCGAAAAAGATGCACTAAGTTTCTTCCTTTCCCGTGCAAATATATTTAATGATGCAATATAATTGGTATTATTAAGACCGGCGACGTATAGTCGAGTTACGTGTGTTAATTTCCTCTAATTTGAAATTTCACAAAAATTAGAAAAATAAGTTGCCTTGAGGAGAAATTTATACTAATAATTATTCTGTTAAAAAAATTATAAAATTTCCTTAGGGCTTTTGATTTCATAATAGCTTCGAATTGCACCTTCTCGAATCCATGATGGATAATATTAAAATTAATATTTTGTAATTAGACGGCTCGCAGTTAGAATCAGCTACAGTCAAACGGGGTTGCTTTGCCCAGAGGGATGACAGCCCATTTTTCAAAAAACTGTTTTGTTCCCCGATAATGTCGTCAAATTTGGACCTTCAGGTTTCGAATCGGAATAACAACTCTAGGGCACTACTATGGAGATTAGATGGCAGAGAAAAATTTGTGTTGTTATCAGATGCTAAGGGATTTTAGCGATCTCTAGATCAAACCTAGAATTCGTAAGTTTTAAAACTTACCATTATTTGTTCTATAAATGTCAATAATAAAATAAACGCATACCCTGGTGAGATTGCCCAAACATAATTTTCAGACGCCCTGAGGAAATAAAGGAAATGAGAGTGTTGGGCAAAGACGCCCTATCATAGAAGTGTCTATACCCACGAGGTCTTCTAATTTTGCAATACACCTGATATCGTCGCAAAATGAATTTACCCGCAAAATCGTCAAATACAACTATAAATCATATAGTAGAAGTGCTAAAGATTTTGGCTTAAAGTTGAAATTTGGGCAAAGCAAACCATGTTGACTGCAGTGTTGATGTCGTAGGGATATTCGTCCAGTCCACTGCGGTTAAAGTTGCAGTAGTGTCGCAGTCCTCGGCAACGTTGGGCCTGAGTCGGTCTCCAATAAAATTTGAAACCATCTACAAAAAACTTAATTATATTAATTTGTAGACATATTTAAGATTGTTTGATAAGATTATAGATTTAGTGACTGTACAAACATGCATTCATAATGTGTAATTACTATAGGCTGTGATGATGATTTGAAAATAGATCGAAAGCTTGCCAGTAGCAATTGTGCTTTCGTCCAGACCATACCGGTATCCAGATTATCCGATACCACGATAAGATCGACAGCTTGGTCATTTCAGTTCACAACGCATCATTTCATTTCACGTTTCGGCTCACTTAAATGGGCGAAAGCCTTCCAGTATCCAGCGCATCCAGTCGTTCCAACCGAAAGTCCTGAGACAAATTGCCGAAGCACCTTATTAACCTCACTATCCACTAAGACCTCAACATTCCTTTTGTCAACGAACTAATCCAGTCCAGATTCCAAACCTTTCACACCAACCTTTCGAACCATCCTAACCATACTGCTCGTGCCTTCTTCACTCATTCCCATCCTGAAAAACCCACCACGGCGTCTCAACCGACGATGGCCTCGGGACCTCCTTGTCCCCTAATCGTATACACTAAGTGCCAACAGTGGCTGGCTCCTCAAAGCATGTGTTCTAACGGTGCAGTGCTGGCATTAGTGCTAGTGTTGTGCTGTGCGATATAGTACATATTTGTATAGCATACTATCCTGTGTAGGTAACAAATAAATTTAAAAAAAATGGGCGTTGGCAATATTACGTCCTTTCAAACCAATACATTCACGATTCATTCAACATAACATTTAACGCAAAAGATGTTTTTAGTTTCTATCTAAAATCTGAACAGAGGATGCAAGACTTGTTGCCGTGTCCAAGCCCAATTGTAATGTCGGATTATATATTCATATTCCTCTCAACATGGAGCCAAAGATTGGGTCAGATTAAATATAACCTTTCCCCGCATGCCGGACATATGCGGTTTCGGTCCAAAAGTAAGTGTCCTTCAGTCAACCACGTATGGCTTATTCTAAGTCAGTGAAAATGGTCCCCTTTCTTCAATAAAGATTCTTAACTGATCACAATTGTTCTGGTTAACATTTAAAAGACCTTCTATAATAACCAATTTACATTTTTGCTTGAGATTATGACGATATACTACCTGCCCATATACTAGCTACTTTTATGTTTTATTGGTTGAGTACGTTTACGTTTTAAATTAAAAAAAAAGAATTGTTTATAAAAGAGTGGAACACGCTTTATATGGCATATTCCTGACATGAAAACTCGTAAATAATCCAGGAAGAATTAAACTGCGGGCGAATATAAATAATTCCCGGTCGACTGTCAACAATCCGTTGAAATCGCAACAACAAACTCTTTAAGGATTAAAGTTCGGAATTAGAGACTGTTGCCTTTAGGCTTCAGTAGAGATGACCCTTTACAAGATAATTTTAACTTTTGCGACTTAAACTAATGTGGGCCGCTATTTTTCAGGTGGTCGCCGGTCTTGGCCTTGTACTTTTCCGCGCCCTAGACTTCGGCATCGAAGAAGACGAAGAGAGACACCTGAGCCCCGAATTAACGAGGCTCATACAAAATATGACTGCTGCAGGTAAGATTAATTAATTATTACTTTGCGTCATTTAATTTACGTCCATACATAACAAAGTAGCCCTACATCTACAATTATTATTATTTATTTTTACAGGCGTTTTTTTAATAACATTTAAGGCTAATTTATCTTTTTTTTAAATTTGTTGATTTTTGTTTTTTAAAAACCAATCCCATGTGGTTTTTTTAAGGTGTTGATTAATTACTTATTTAAATATTTATTTGGACATTTCGGGAATTTACACCCATCATCAACATCTACATTTTTAAAAGCGATAACTATAACTAGGATATTAGTATTTTACAACAATTTATTATAAAACTTACCTTTTTAAAAAATTATTAAATTTTTCATCATACAAAAAAATAGTTGTATGTATATAGTATTCCTAAATAAGTATTTGTTAATGGCTATTTTATTCAAATGTCTCCATTAAAATGTAATTCAGATTAATGTTTTGTGTACTTAGATCGATATGTAGAAAATTTAATTTTTTGACAGTTGATTTTAATTTTATTGTATTTGAATTTCATCATTATTATTTTTACTTTCTTTTATTTCTGTCAAGATGATTGTTTTGTTTTTTGTTGTAAGACATCCATTATTATTATTATTATTATAGTTATTAGTATGTACATAGTAAAATTACATTAAAACCAGTAAAAAGGTAAGCTTTATAATAAAATGTAAAATATTAATATCTTTTGTTATACTTCTTTTTTTTTTAATTTTTGTCTGTATTGCGTGAAAAAAATGTTATTAATGAAAGTTCTTCGTTTTTGACTGAACTTGACTAAACTTTTAGCAATTGACGAAGGTTCATGTGTAGGCTACAACATTATATTTCGTGGTTCGATGGACCAAATAACTTCTTTAAATTAATTATTCTTTTTATGTAAGGTCATGGTTGAGATGAAAAAGTTAATGTCACGAGCGGGATTCGAACCCACGACCTTCGGCTTGTATACCACACAAACTTTTTCATCTCAACCAAGACCTTACATAAAAAGAATAGTTAGTTGAGAAATAAATTGTTTCCAGGACGAAAAGTTGAATTACTCGATTAACCCCATTCCCCCTTTTTTTTCATACCGTCACCACTTTTATCTCATTTAGCATGAAATTTCTGCATTATGGTTCGATGTAATTAAAGAAAAGGTTATAGCTAGAAAGCTTATTACAGGAAGAATTGTTATGAAATTTGCCAAGATCTACCGTGCGAATTTATTTTTTACAATTTTTAAATTTATCACTTTTTGAAAAATATGTTTGCTTTTTTACCAATAATTAAATTGAAAAGGAAATTTTACGCCTTCTCTGGATTTTCCCAAAAATGAATAGTTCAAGTACGAGTAGATTTATGACGAAAATCGTATATAGTAGAAAAAACCATAAATTGTTGAATATCTGAATATAAAGGGTTTAGAATCAGACCATGGCTCATACGAATTTTTTGTTGCTTTTGAGGTGTATTTGACGAATTTTGTCCTACGAGTAGCGAATCACCCTGAACATTATCATTAATCAAGCTCACTGTTACTTCGGAGTTCGAGAAACCTGTGACGCTTCGGGGGTGATCAGTCGGATGGGTGCGGGATGAAAGTTTTCTGGCGTGAGAGTTTATGAAATTTCTTCTAGCAGTTTTTCGCTACTCAAGGACAAATATGATATTAGGTGATTGTAAATGGCAAAATTGGATGCATAGAAACGGATATTGGACGATGGTTCGAAGGACTTTTGATTGTAGTAGGGAGTGGTTACGTTGGAGATTGGAACGTTTTGTTGAACCTCAAAGTTCAATGGGTCTCAGAATAGTTATTTTGTAGAGGCAATTTTGATCGTTTGTCCAGTTCTTTCTTTTAAGAAGTTTTAAACGTCCGTTTAGAGTCACATGTGAGGGTTCGTGTGAGAAGTTTGTCGTAAAGCCCAAGGTAGCGGACTACATAAACTGATCGAAGGGATGTCGTAGATGGGAGCAGTAGTTTTCGCCGAAGGGTGAAAGTGACATGTTCACATTTTTATGTTTATCGACATCTTCCACGTCTCAAGGGATGAAGGCTTTCTTCACATCTAGGAAAACACAGGATATCACTCCTTTTAGTCAAGAGCGGTAGTGATGATGTCCACATCGCGTTTAAAATGCAAATATATTTTACGGCAATAAGGAGAAAACAAATAAATAATACCTGACAACTGAATACTGATGCCAATTTTCTGATTTCCTCTCAATTTCCTTTTAACGTAGTTTTACTGGTTTGGTTCGAAATTTCACCCGTGGGATTGTTCTGGAGAAAAATTAATGAAAAATCAATGTTTCAGTTTAATCTAAAACTGTTGTAAAGAACAAAAAAGTGGTTGGGAAAACTGGGGCTTTTGGTTGGGAAAGGTAAATTTTTTATGATTTGTTCACCTCTTTTGTAGTAGAAAGAAGTTTTTTTTTTTTTTTTTTTTTGGGGGGGGGGGTTGATTGCTTCAATCAATACTTATGAATGGGGCGTCGGTGGCCGCAACAGTTGTGTTGACACGGCGCTCATCACTGTAACGTAAAGGTCCCGGGTTCGAATCCAGCGGCCGTGCATTCGAACCCGACACCCCACATTCTTACAAATGGGCTTTTTTCAAAAACACCAGCACCCCGAGGGTTTATATAACCACTGCTGTTGCGAACCCTCATTTCGCAGAACTTATTAATCTCTATTGGGTTTCTTATAAATTAATTTTATTCGTTAAACACCGGCTGATAAATTATTTCCTTATTTTGAGAAGTTTTTCTTCTAACCTAAAATTAGAAAATACATAATCATAAAAAATGCGCTCTTCCCATGTTAATACATCATTGTTTTCGCCGGAGCGTCTTATTATCCTAATTTCGAAGAAAATGGGTCAATTAATTTTCGATCCCAACGTGTGAAGTGTTCATTCACATGCACGTAAGTTCATTCACATGTTCCGTCTATTGTAGAATACCAACCGAGCAAGAATTATAAATACTCCCATGGCACAAAATATGAAAATTAATGTCGAAAATATAACCTTATAACTTCACCTTATTCTGTCAATTTATGATTTTAATTACTACAAAGAAGGAAAATATAAGCGAAAATGGTAGTCCAGCAGCTTATGATTTAATAAGAGTGTGTTGTAATTACCGTTAATCGATAATTATTCAGAAATCGTGAAATGCGATCTGGTGTGATGTAGGTTTCAGAAAAACATTTTCTTTATCGTGCCAACGTTTCGATCTTTATTGAGACCATCTTCTTCCCCAGTGGGCACTCTCAATTCACACTCTCACACGCAAGAATGGCACAATTACACAGAAGACACACACTTTGAGCCCTGAAGATGATCTCAATAAAGATCGAAACGTTGGCACGATAAAGAAAATGTTTTTCTGAATCCTACATTACACCAGACCGCATCTCACGATTTCTGAATAATTTGTAAGAGTTTGATATAGACATTATTTTTAATTTAATAAAACCTCTTTTACCATTTTTAACTTATGGCAAGCTTACTAATGAATAAATGGTATAATTTTTCTTCTGACCAATTTCACCATGCCATTTTGGCATTGAGAATGGTACGAATTCAAGTGCATTCCTTTAATTTTCAAAAGCCACTCAATTTTTATTATATACATATTGCAATATGGATAATTATTTTCGTTCATATCAAATTTTAATGCTGATCTTAAAGTTTGAAACTCATAAAAAAAAGTACGTCTCCCTCTATGGCATCAAATGTTTTAAAAATACAATAAAACTTCATCTTGATAACATTTTTCATTGTAAATAGGTTATCTGTAATGCTATATTTAGGTCTGAAATCTACTTTTAATTTTTGTTTAGTAGACTCATCGAGTAGGATAATCTTTCAAATATTAGCCTGGTAAAACTTGAGTTATGCATTTCAAACCCGCATATTTATGCACTGTACCGAATAATGGTCCTATAAACATACTGTAAAACTTTCAATTTTGCATGTTGTCCTATTTCGCTATATTTTATAAAAGATTAACATAAAATCATAAAATTAGAAGGGATTACGTATAGAGTTAATATGTGTTTGTGTGTAATATAAGCATGCTGGATTGATAGCTGACAATCAAATGTTTGTATGCTAGTTTAAACGGAAGTCGACATGTCGAATAATTAATTAATCTTAGAGAAGAAAGTAAAATGAAGGTGAAATTCGGGCTTCCGATCCGTACTGTCTCCGAGTTCGCTGGGACCTGTTTCGGAAAAACAAATTAACTACGACGTAGGAGGCAGTCGCTGACCTATTTCCCCAGAATCAAAACGTAATAAATTCCCAGCGGAGTAAACAATTCACTCCGGTGGAATTAAGGCCCGAATTAGCCCGGATTGAAACAAACGGTATCTGAAAATGAGAAGAGATTGGCGGGAGGGCGGAAAGAAGCTCTGCAGATTAAAACTTCATTGATACAATTCGGAATTTGAACCGCACGACTGACCCGAGTTCTTTCAAGAGGGTCAAACACTCAAAAATCTCCTTTTGGAAAGATCAGTGTATCGATTCAATAAAATTGTAAAATCCCAAAATCCTACTACTAAATGACTCCTACTTATAAAAAACAAAAACATTATGGTATTCCTTCTTACTGTCTGCGATGAACCTGTAATTTGGTTCCCATCATCACTAGTTTTATCCTTTTATATCAAATCTAAGGAAGCTTGACAGACCATGTAACACATTTTTTGCTACTTCAACACGGTCGACCATTTTAAATAACAATCTGTACTATCCATAGTAGCACCGGGGGGCGTCGATGGCTGTAACGGTTTAGGCGTTGACACGGCGCTCATCACTGTAAGGTAAAGGTCCTGCATTCCAGAGTTGGGCAAAATCTAACTAATTCAATCATGATTAAGAATTTTGATTGAAGTTTAATCATGATTGAATTAGTCATGAGTAAATTAATCATTATGTGATTTAATCATAATTAATTCAATCATGAGGTATGACTAAATCATATG